TTAAAAGGGTCAATAGGCGAAAAAATGGCAGCATCTTCCTTTAGAACTTCATTCGCTACAGAACTTATTCTCATGAGGTACGCCCAACACAACTACCGCGTTGGAAATTTAAAATCTACATGTACGTCCTAAAATATAATGTCTCATTATTTTCATTAATTTTTCAGTAACTTCATGCCTAATTGTGCGTTGATTCCTTGGTCTATTAGACTTGAAACGGACAAATAAAAGGTCAGTAGTAAGCCGTAGTTACTTGTTTATTATGATTAATAGAGATATTGCATTACATTACAGTGATATTTGGCCACCGCAGGACGCTTACGATGCGTTCAGCACGAAAACGACCTTCAGTTCAGTTCCACCAGCGAATATGTTTTCGCTCGTTTGTTAATTCTATGTCATACGCCCGGATCGATTTCTGATCAGCTACGAAATAATAAGCATTATAGTAGTTAGCTGCCAGAGCCCCCACATGTATCTGCATCAGACGACGTCGCCGCCAGTCGCCACTGTTTAGAGTTGTGCCTGCCTGCCCAGCCATAAGCCCCTGAACTGTAGCCGGCATCTGTCAGTACTATGTAGCTAGCTTATTTACATTTGTGTTTGCAAATAACCGAAATATACCTCCCAGGCGGTCGACTGAGCCACAAAGGCCCTTGCGTTGCCTAGTACAATGTGAATAAGATTGCGAAGGTGACGCATCCACTTACTGAAATTAGGCGCACGTAACGTTCGAAACCACCTTTCGTTTCGTGCTGGAAGCATCTGAAGTAACGTTAAGCTATGGCCTAAATTCTAAACATCTATCAGAGTGTAATAACCAATACATCTGAGCACATGTATGAATGTACAGACGTGGGATTATGTTCAACACGAATTTATAGACATAAATATACACTTTGTTTATTTTTTTTCGTTTTGAGTGTATGTGTGCCAAATAGATGATAATACTTTGGTTTACTGGTGGCCAGCTTGCCTTGCATCTCAGCCTCCGTAGAATATTGAGAACCTTGTCTGCGGTTAACTGGGCAGAAACAACTAGGAGACGGTGAGCAGTACACATTGCAATGATCGATGTGGCAGAAGTGCGTAGACAATAACGCATAGACTTATTGCATTATGTAATAGAAGTCTATGGAAGGCAATAAAGAATATATTTGGATATGTACTATCAGATGAAATTGTTGTCAGGGTCAATGTCATAAGCCTCAACCCCTATGGCTTCTTTATTTCAACACATGCCACATTCGCACTCACATGGCCGAGGTGGTTGGTATGATAGCATGCGCAGTGTCATCGCCAGCTGCTCGTACTTCAACGTGCTTACAGATTGTGTCTAAGCCTGAACTCATTGCCTACGTAAATTGAGCATAAGGCGCAATGGAGACCAGTTGCTTATTAAGCACGCGTAGCAAAAGAAATGCTTTTTATGCTGCAGGTACTTGCTCAGACGGTTTTTCAAGCAATACTTAATCGTCCTTTAGCTAGTCTGTAAGTCTTTCATACCTTATAGAGCTCTTAGATGTGATCGGTACTCGGAGAGGGGCGTGACAGCGGCCTTCCACATTTATGGCCATAACAATCGAGCCAGCAAAATTCCACCCGAGTACTTACTATCACTTTCGTTTTATATCTCCCCTCTATGCTTATCTCGTTTTCACTTTTGCGTTCTTGCGTGGTTTCTGCTGAGCCGTTTGCCTAATATGCTACTTCGAACGGCTGTCTGGGGATTTATCTGTGATCTGAGTTTACTCGCATTTTTTATAGGTCTTTTAAACATTTTTGTTGGCATGACTCAAGCTGAATTGGTGCAGATTGTCTGTATCCCCAGCCTATCGTAAGGAAAAATAGATAGATACAAGTTACGACTCTTAACGAGCCGTCAGCAAGACAGTGCGATTTCGAGATTGAACTTATCAACGGTTATCGACCCTTCATGAAGTCTCCGAAGCGGCGGTAATAGAATCACTGTTTGGATAGCCTACTCTGTAGCTTCTTGCTGTTACAGGGACAAGAATCTAGTCAGGTCCCTAACTTTCCATTCACTTCCACTAGCGGTACGATATAGTACTATCACAATTGGACAAGGGGGGCCGCTTTGCCGTCCGTAAGGGTGGAGTACTTTGCCAGGCCTTCGCTCAAAAAGCGAGTTCACGTCCGTTTTTTAAGGTAACTCTCGCACACACCTTCGGCACGTTCAATATCAGGTTCGATGACTTAGAAAAGCTATCTCGTCTGAACGGCTAAAAAGTGCTCTCGGTGGTACATGGGGATTCTGGGTACCCTACTAGTTCAGGTCTGACTTGTAATTCCGCTACGTTAAGTTTTTACTATAATAACATGAAAACTCACAGCAACCATATATGTAGGTAATATCTGTTGCAGCAAAAATTGCTTTAGTTTCCCATATCATAGCGCGCTATTTTAGCCATTATCGCTTTATAGACCGCAGTGCGTTGCCCATAAAGCTAACCACCTTTCATTTGGTTTTAATGGCAAAGTTTTAGATTCACTGGTGTTTTCTAAAAGCAAATTTTTGCCTAATTATTTTAACATTAAGAAAAGTCTACGGTTAGAGGGGTAAATCCGTAGCTTTTATCAAAAGGTACTTAGCCTTTAGCGACATGCTCTCAGTGAACCCATTAATCATTTACTGAAACCGGCATCTACTTGTATGCTAGAATTAGCATGCAATATTCACACGTAAGTAACTAGCACAATACCTTCCAGCAGCGTCACCTTGCCTTGTTTGCTCAAGAAGCAACGAACAACTAGCCGTTTGAAGGAGGCGCCTCGTTCGGAGATTTCCTGTAAATCGCTGATGTGCGGGGTTGGACATCAACGTAAAGGTGTCACAAGCATAGGGAACGCAGGAAAACGGCGATAATGACCAGTAGATAGTGACAAAGACATAAAAGGCAAGTGCGAACAGCTTGACGCTACTGCCGGCAATACCAATTTGTATGACAATGCGAAGCAACTGCCTTTAACCTGACGGGTCGAACCTAGACATAGCTGAAGATGTTAGTGCAAATGATCATTGCTAGGCCCTTGCAGCGCGGGCTTGCTGCAGAGATCCTTCTCGTCTCTGTGACAAGGGTCTTTGCTTTCTGTTTTGGCAGCTATTTCCTATTGGTTTTCGATTCCGTCGCTTTTGGTCTGATTCTACCGTTGATGAATCCCGGGTTCCCGGTGCATAGCTTTCACTGCTACCAGCCATAGCTTATCGAGTAGGTTTCCGCGCAGCGGCTTTTCCCGCGCAAAGAGTTTCACTAGACTATGTTGAACCACCTCGACGCTACGCCGACTTGGATATAGCGGATAGCTGTGGATATCTGATGCCTTATAATGAGTCTATAATATAGATTGTAGTCGGGCGCAGGACTAACTACAATGGCTGAAATGGCTGGATAGTCAGTTAGTGGTCTGCTCATACTTCATGGCCTTTTTTCTCTCTCGCCCTCGCCTTCACCTTCTCATATGCCGCTCATATATCTCCGCAGTCTAAGATGCACCTATTAGAGAGAAGAGTGCTGTGGCAATGGCGGCCGCCACCAGCATCTGATCATCGTCTTGCAATACGTTCACGTCTAGGGGCGTCTGGGATTCGGTTCGACTCTATCATCCGGGCGTGCCGGTTGACTGCTGACCGCTCAACGTCTTGGTCCCACCGCCCCCCAACCAAGCCCTCAGTGATAGTTATATAGGTTTGGCAATGCTTGGTTTCTATTGTGTCTCGTGCATCTGTGGCGTCCACCTTCACTTCGCAGGAAGCGAATAAGTCCAAGAAGAATAGGAGTAGAGATCAGTCCGGATAGGCGGTCGAAAAGTTGCTTCGAAAACGTAGTCCACGTGATAAGTCTAGGTGTCTAGGTTGTAGAAAGGTTGACGAGATAACCGTATACGCAACGAATCGAGGGAACGGATTGTGCGAGGACCCTGAAAGGAGGTTGCGCGACCTAGAAGGGACGGTCGTCTGGAGTCCTGTATCAGATGTTGGGGGGTAGGCCCTAATTGGCCGAAACGTTATTACGACACCTATGTATACTGCCGCTGGTGTTGGTACTACTAGTGCCACAAACGTTTATATGACAACATTGGCTATCATAACGAACTAGCTGCATCGAGAGATTTGTCTGACGGGAGATGCTGGCCGGACCTACAGGGAAGGGAAAACGAAGGACTGTCTCGGGCGACCAACTATTGAATTGAACCTGACGGTGTATGATGACAATTGGTATTCGAATTAGGTTCGAGGATGGAGTGGGTGGGTAAGGGCTTGATCATGCAGAGAATACGTGGAAAACCCTACTGAAGGATGTTGGATTTGAAAGAACTGGGCACTTACCCATTGAGCCATTGGGAAAAGTGAATAAAAAGCAGTTCATTTCCATAAATTATACAAAAAAAAAAAGGTCAGGCCAACTAATATAGAACGCATTGGTCAGGGCGAACATGAGAACGTCATAATTTTTAGACGAAACCAAGAGACAAGTGAAAAGCAAAGCTCATTATTATAGAAATATATTATTGTGAAGGCATCACACTTGATATAGATGATGCGCAAGTGTTAGTAGGCAAAAGTACATATTAAATGGTGATGCATATAACGATAATTGTCTAGGAGTTAATTTAGGTAAAAGAGGTTAATAAGATATACTTCTGCATACGCACTCGGATACTAAGAAGTAGGTTAAAAAAAACAGAGTTAGCGAGACAACAGAATTATGCGATTTTAGTACTTTTTAATATACTTTCAATCTGTATCATTCGTAAAATAAAAGTACTCCGACGCCGACTAAGCGTTTAAACGATAGCCTTAGAAGTTACGCATGGCGTGTCCTTTATTTGACGACTCATTTAATTAGCACTTCTTTCCCACCCAAAAACACTACAATCATACTTAAACATTGGTACGAACGAATAAGTACTACCACTACGACAGCAATGCCTAATCGATATCATCGACCCAACCTTTTTCGCGTGATGCTATATTTCAGGTGATAGGAAGTTGGTGGGAAACCGACCCAGCGTTTAGTTCGCCTCGCTTACCTCCCATTGAAATGCTGCCTGTATGGAGCGCTGTTCTTACTTAGCAACCCGTTTATGGCAACAACTTTTATTTGAAACTCGCGGGAGAACGCTTCCTCCGAGCGCGCCTGATCCGAGCCCCCCACACCTTAGTTTGTCATCGGCACTAGCAGAATAGTTGTCCCTGGCTTTTCAGTAACGAAGTCGGAAGCGCGTGGATGAAGCCAGGATACTTGCTCGTCAAACTTAAGCCAGGAACCCTAACCTCATATAGGAACCGTTTAAAGTTGCGGGCCTCTTACGCAGTGTTGCGTGTTCCTCAAGCCATATTCATACATAGAGCGTCAGTTGCAACCAGTATAGGCAGCGCAGTCTATCGACCCCACAAACGCTTGCAGTGCATAACCCCACCATCTCCACATTGTGCGAATAATAGTCTAAACCTCTACAAGGTAGACGAACGCATTAAGCCTTTTAGTCTCCTGGCACCCATCTAATTTTGTTCCTCTTGGGTGCTACTGTTATTATAACCATGCCACAACAACATTGCCAGTTGCTAACGGCATTTGTCGTCACGACCGCCCTAGTGGCAAGTGCCCTGATACAACCTGCCGGAGCCCAGCGCAACAGCAACCAGGATCACTTTCGGAGATGTCCGCAGCAGTGTACGTGCGCCCTTGACATCAACCAAGGCAAGAAGATCAGCTGCGAATCAGGCGGACTTAGTGACGTCCCGTTCCTGCAAATGGACAGTGACGTTCAGGTGTTCCATTTTACGGCGCCACCCGATCTACCTAATGAGATTTCACTAGGCCGATTTTTCGGTCGCTTTTTTGCCCTCGAAGAAATCCGCATCACCCATTCGCGGGTGCCGGCTATCGGCGAGAACTCATTTTACCCGCTGCGCAAACTTCAGATACTCGACCTGTCGCATAACAACATCTCGACCCTGATCGACAAGGACTTCTACGGGCTGCAACAGCTCAAAGTGCTCAATCTGTCCAGCAACGATATATCGAAATGTCCTTCAGCACCCTTTCGCCATCTGCAGTCGTTGACCTCGCTAATCCTAAGCAACAACCGACTACAGCTGGCGCCTAGGCTGTTCTACCAGCTGAAGAACCTGCAGCGACTAGACCTGTCAGGGAATCCACTTAACAGCATCGACCCGGACATTCTCAAGGATCTCCGGCCGGTTACGCGCCTATATCTAGCTCGCTGCAACCTCAGCTCGTTACATTCGCTAGTCTATCAACAGTTACCTAATCTCGAGCACCTTGATTTGCGGGTAAGAACCTACGGTTCAGTTACTTTCAGCTTTTCAAGCTTCATTTACAGGCTGAACGGTTTTTTTTTTTAATAGATCATGTGAGTTGTACTGTACTATATATGTACGGTGCTCGGCCATCCTCATCGAAACCTTAACTCATCTTTAAGCCAATATATACTGAACGAATCTTTGAATGTATAGGGCTACATAATATGTTTTTAGTCTTTGTGCAGCTAAGTGTCAGAGCGGAGCTTCAGCTTTTTTTTTTTTTTATTAAGTATTCGATTAGTAACATGACGCATTTCTTTCATAAGCGACTTTCTAGCTCCCGTTTAGGGTTTTTTTTTTTGGCGAAGAGTATTTCGCTTTGATTAGAGAATGTCTATGTTTAAATAAACGTCATCAGTTATTCTATAGGAAATGATGTGCGGAAAGTGATTCTTTTGCATTAGCTACAAAGATCCTTCATATACTGTCCTACTGCAGGTATCTAGACACCTGCACAACTTCCGTTTCAAAGATGCTATCTCAGAATCGTGTCACGCTGATTGTAATAAACATTTGATTTATCTGTTTATGCTAATTAAACGTCTTCGTTGTCAAAGAGTTTTATTCATATAAAAATGCCCCGTGAAAACCTTGCATCATAAAGGAACATTCTATAAGCTAATCAGTCTTCCACCGATGGTGTCGAACTGGCTGAAACAAACATAGGCAAAAAAAAACGTTTCCGTTTACTTTTCGTCTCCTCCTATATTAGCCATTATTTATTTCGAAACATTTACTCTGATCTTCAACACTTTTCTCCTACCACGGGTACGCCGATTCCCATGCATCACCACTTTAACTATTCAACCAGCGCTCTTGGCGATCATCTAGATCGCTTCGAAGCAGATCGCCATCTTTATTTGCTGTAACTACACAAGCATTCATATCCATATTCGCATCGACGTAAAGTCGTAGTAAGCTTCAACTAACTCAAGCGATAAGCGCACATCTACCAACGGTGATCTGGCTCAAGAATCACTCTTTCCACGAATACAGCGTTGGCGTATCTTCCTTGATCTGATGATCTTCTCTAACGCTAAACACAATCTAATCGGATCATCCGGTAGAGAAACAAAAAATCACTATCTTAACTCTGTGCAGCCGTGCACAACCTTTGCTGGACGTGACCTTGTGTTTCTAGAGTATACTAACTTTCACAGCTTATTCGAACTTTCAGACCAGCTCACACTCATCATCACCATACTGCTGCTAATATATCAGCAATGGAAATAGTAATAATAATTTTATAGTCGTCGTTCATTTCCATCCATAGAACCATTCTCTTTCGTTCGTATTTAACTTCCGTGTTTCACAAGTATAAGTTGGCCGTTACTTGCAGTCATTTATGCCCGACGTCTCAGACTCCCTTCGTGAAAAAATCTCCCAATCGATGCAGCTAAGAGCTTTGACATTCTAAAAATACTGTTATTCTTTGTTGAATCCAGAGGGTGAGACCAAACCGGCCAGCGACAACGAGAAGCTGCAGTGTTCATTGTTGAATCGTTCTAGTCAGATCTTCCTGTTCGTTAACAGGTAAAAGAAAGAAAGGTCGTGTGTCTAAATGAACAGTTTTGCAGGCACAGAAGGTAGCCTATCGCTGTCGACAATGGAGGCTCCTTGAACGCAGGAAGCTTCGTTGTAAGCGACCAGCGGAGTAGGCTAGGTAGTTTGTACTGAACTGCAAAGTTCCGAAGAATAGCTTAGGAACAGGCATATTAAAAACCTGAGTAGATAACTTTAAATGTCTGTAGTGGATCAAGTTTTTTTTTGAAACCGGAAAGGTTCGTACGTAATTAGTGGAAGCCAACGAATTCGGGTTTTAACAGCGACAGACGAGCCCGCGTCATAGAAATTGCAATACAGTGCTTACTTGAGCTGCCAATTAAATTCAATGACGGTCTTGATGAAAAATAGTTGAGATTAAAGAGCTTTACATGAAAAGAAATCCAAATAGTAATCAATACAGAGCAGCAAACAGCGCAAAAAGCCAATATGGAATTCGTTGCGCCAACTTGTCCTATTGTGCCACGTTGCAGTATACTGCTCCTTATGCTGAGTAAAAATGTTTACTTAAATATTAAATAGATAACTCAAATCGGTATAGTTTCTACAACACGCTATACACGAGCTATATAGATAATTACCAACGACATATATGTCTGTTTACCGGATGAATCGACAACGGAACCCTGGTAACAAGCTGATTCAGCCGATGTTTGAATGCTCTGATTAAATGCACTTGCCGCTTACCGAGAGTTAAGCTTGCTTCGGGAGTTAGCTGGTACCAAGTCTTTTCTCTGCATCTGTCTCTCCGTTGTGATGAGCTCAGTGAAATTGTGAAAACAGGTTCTTCCATAGATTCACTAACTATAGTTGTTGTTTTTATCAAAATTTTTATGTATGTAACACTTCACGCGCTGCCGATTGGGAAGCTGTCGTATTTAAATGTAAATGTTATTGTTTGTATTCGTGACTATGTCTGCGTCCCTGGTCAAACGAGCACTTCGCAAAAAATATACATCATGAGACAAAAATTATTTGCACCGAAAAACAAGTTAGACGATGCAGAAGCCTTGGCACTCCTAGCTATTTCATTGGCCTACGTGCACAAAATTAGAAGATGACTGATTGTCTGTATCATAATATTACGCTGTTTTTGCACGCGTGTGTGTTGTTTCAGGACAACAAGCTCACCTATTTAGCTCCCCACGAGTTTCGTCATTTGTCGAGGCTTCAGTTTCTTCATTTGGATGGTAACAAGCTTACCACCTTAAAGGACTTAACCTTTGACGGACAGGCCCTCGCATATCTAGGTAAGCAGCAAACGGAGCACAGGGGTTCCTGCAGAACTACTCAATAAATCGATGAAATCTGGCTTTAGAAAGTAGTCCTAGCTTTGAGTGTTGCAACTTTCCATTGTACCTAGAAAAAATCTACATGACACAGCGTATGCATGCACTTATGCCTGCGTCTTCTGTTTGTCAAGAAACGTAGGAAGGCCTTAACAAACATGCACAAGAATACTAATGGTAGCTAGCTAGACGCGTCTCTCAATCTAGAACACCAATCAGGAAGCATCCTTCTTTTTGACAATAAACTCTCACTTCGTCCGCTCGATGTGCAGGTTTATCCCGCAACTCCATTTCAGCAGTGGAGGCGTGCGCGTTCTGTAATTCGAGCATCTCCGAACTGAACCTCTCCCGGAACCGTCTCGAGTCGTCTGCTCGGGACGACCCCCTGCGTGCTCTATCGCTCTCCATCGAGAAACTCGACCTGTCCTATAACCCCACTCTCCGCGGATCGATGGTCGCGGAATTCATCCGAAATCTTCATCGACTTAATGTGCTCAACCTTGAAGGTGAGAAGGCTGATCTGATTTTTGCGTACTGAATTCAAGATGTTGACGTGTTACCGTTACACTTCTAAGAAGGAAAGAGCTTCAAGATAAAGGTAGACATTGGCTGTTTAAGGTTAATTAAAATTTTCCGAATAAGAATTACTATATTTTAGTAACTGCTTATAACAGTGCCGGTAGCTAATTGTTTCTATTTGTTTATGGTTTCTATTTACTGACCGCGTTTGGTGAAAATACCTTGCAGTTTACATTGAAGACCGTTACTGACCGTTACATTGAAGACTAGATTAGATTCAATAGTGTCCGTTTAGGCCATCGCGTATAGTAACGCAAACTTTCATTTCGACTGGTACGTAAATATGATTCGTATAGTAACGCTTATCCTACTTGTTGTTTCAGGCATCGGCCTGTATGACCTTCCGGCGACGACATTTTCATCGGTCACGGGATTACGCCAGTTATACCTAAACAAAAATAGCTTCAGCGAGTTTCGCTATTCACTCTTTCTCGAGCTAAAAAAACTCGAAGTACTCAATATATCTCATAATAATCTTAAATTTCTTCGTTCATCAGTAATTCGGTCACTAAACGACACGAACACGCGAGTAATCATGCATGATAACCCCTGGCGATGTCAAACGTGCTACATGAATCATCTTCTAAAGTACGCCATTTCTTCACAGATGAGTAAAAATTATAGAGAAATCTCTTTCGTTTGCAACCAGTTGTCTGATTTAGTTTGATAATTTTTTTCCGCTGGTCGTAGATACATAACAGTTTAGATGACTGAATAGAAAACTGAGTAAATATGTCTTGGACTTTCGCGACGCTTTGTAGACACCTTTTGCAAATGCGTAGCGGACAAGCAAGGGTCCCTTATCTGATTGTTCGAATTATGCTAATATATAGATTTGAATCTTCTTCTCATTACAGCTTCTTGAGTCAAAGACCAATTGACGATAATGTTAAACCGCCATTGTGCGCCGATCCCGCCAATGTTCGGGGTCGTGACTTGTACCACCTGAAGCTGTATGAACTAGAAGAGTGCAACAATCCCATACTTGAACCGAGAATATCGGGCACCGAGTCACAGGTGAGTCTACAAAGAAAAGCGCTAGCCGCAATGTTATGTTATTCTCCGCCGTGTGCATTCATTAGGGCTGATTTATTTTTAAGCAGCAATTTTCCGCCCCATATTCAATTTATAGTTAATCGCACCCATATCTTCAACATATAACATGACTACACAGCATCGTTCCTAAACTTCTTTAACACCTTCAGGAAACACTGTATCCATCGTATATCATCACGATTGCTGATTTCTTCAGTTTCAATGGCTGCCCCTTACTATTTAATTGAGGCATAATCCGCATTACAGGTCGGGCTTGTCGTCGCTATCATCATTATCATGGTCATCGTCACTATCATTATTGCAACGATCGTTATCTATAGGACGCAGGGAGCTGTCTATTATACGCACGAAGAAGACAGATCGCGCGGCTCGCTGAGCTATGACAACTTGGGCTGCAAAGAAGGTCTGAACTCAAAGCGGCCCTCAATCGTTGCCACTATCGACGATACGATTTCACGAAGTTCCTAGCAGTCGCAGCTGAGCTCTGGAAGCAGTAGCGGATGTCATCGTGGCAGCAACTAACTTTTATCCTATGACGCATGATAATGACATGAGATCTTATAATACTGACAGCCAGAATAACAGCAGGAAAAATACCAGCGAACAATGGAAACAATGCGGTTATATACCGTGCAACATAGGTTACTCAAACGACGGGCTATAAGAATCATATTAAATACAATCATACAAACGACTGAAATTTTACCATAGCAGCGACGCTATATGATCGGTCGTACTAAGCAGCGACTTGCGATGTCTCCGTATCTGCCGGTGCCATAGCAACGACCCCTAGAAATATTTGTTACTTTGATGACGGCATGAGAACCCATTGCCACAACAACTTGGCATAAGGCTCAGAATACGGGAAAAATGGTTGATATCATTGTTCCCGTACCAGATAGTCACATTATCGTATCGCCAAACAACCTTAGTCTTATTAAAGAGGTAATCGATTCGTTGCGACGATGCATAATCATAATCGCAGATAAAAGAACGCTTTACAGAAAGCAAGTCATCGCTATGATAACAATACGAATCCTTAAACCAGTACGAAGTTAATACAATAATAAACAATACGGCCTACGTGAAGCGCTGCTTTAATCGGATGCGTCACGACGCCTCAAGGATCGCATTGTACTGCGCCTGTCATATGCTGCTAGCGACTTCCACGATCTTCACCTTACTCTCCGCTGACCGGCTGGATATAGACCCGAACCCCGTTAAATCGCTCTGTTGAAATTTGATTAAGCATCAAGCTAATGAGGCTACAGCGCGCTGGGAATATTGCAAAAGCCCTCCGTACTACCATGTTTGATTAGAAGCTTCTAGCGCCCATCGTGTTCCCCGTAGAAATAGTCAAACAAAGGTGCCATTTTAACGGCATCTTAGGCGGAAACATTTCCTTAATAGCGGACTGGAACCCCTGCAATCGCAGGCACTGAACTTCGGCAGACCATCGCCGCCGCCGGTCAGGCTCTGGAGAAAGTAAGGTTGGAGTTTTTCCAGAGCTCATATCCCACTACGTGCGGATAGATCAAGAGAAATCTTGAACTAATCGATTTTCGTCGTTGAAAAACGACAAAAACGGCGACTAGCGGCGATAGCACAAGTTGCCTTTCAGAGCATTCCTCCTGCTAAGCATAAGAGGGTATCCGAATTGATCTGAACAGAGAGAATTCTACCAACCCGGAAGCTCTTTGGCCGTAGGGGGTCGAAGAGCCCCGAATCATATTCTCAAAGCAATCGGCGCCAAATATTACTATTAACTTTGAAAGGAGGTAAGCATAATGACGTCCTTATAAACCATATATTATTTATTCATAGCAACTAGTGTATCAAGGAGAATAGTGGTAAGTTACGAACTAAGAAGCATTTTAGTATAGCCGAAGTGTGCATAGGGAAAAATTCACGAGTCTGTTTAGCAAACTCACGAGCACTCTCACGATTAACACGAACATTTCGTCACAAACCTAGCACCGTAAACGTGTATAAAATCTTGTTGTACTCCGATTTTCTATATGCATTTTTATATAAGCAGAGATAGCAGACGTGTCACAAAGTAATCAATGGGCCAGAACAGGGGGCAGGGACCGGGGGGGGGGTGGGGGGGGGGGTGCGAGAAACCTACGAAAGAAAGGGAAATGCAGTTTCGGGGCGAAATGTATGCATGGGGCTAGCGCTCTCAGTGTTGCAGTGTTTAAGAACGCAACTCACTTAATGATGATTAGGAGACGAGCCATTTGTAATGCGTATGGTTGGGGATGGTAGCAGACAGTAATAGATAACGGTCTCACTGACGAACCCATGGAAACAACAATGTGACAGCTACCTTTTCGTATGAGTGTTTTCGATGCCAAAATGCACTCTCGATGCTTCTTTTTTTCCCAATAATTGAGCAGAAGTTATTTTGGCTTTTTGTCTATTACGTTCCCATTCAAAAACCTTCAAATCAAATACAAAAATTATTTTTATTTCATTCTATCCCATTATATTTCTATTGCGCTTTACCGTAAATACACTTACTAGTTTATTTTGACCTGTTATTAATCACAGTCACACTTCGTTGCTGTTACCATTGTTCATCATCAGGTGTATACACGTGAGCTTCAAGTCTGCCTATACGAAGATGGCTGCAAGTACCGAATCATTGACGTGTGTATGACAATGTACAGTTCAATGTATATTGATCAACAGGTAGAACTGAAACAGAAGATTTGTAACTTAAGTCAGTAGAAGATGTAACAGTAAATCAGATTTGCGCAAAAGCCAGTAAAAAAAAAAAACGAGACGTTTCAGGACACATATATATATATATATATATTAACCTACATATTTAAAGAAGGAGATAGAACGATGAAAAACAAATTGAAAGCGGTTCTACATCAATACCTTCTGGCTAGTAATGTTCATACAGACATTCCAGGCGCGTTGTGTTGTATGGATAATAAGAAACATATAAGTCGTGCCCACAAGTAACTATACCACTATGAGAGAGGTACACCGGTGTAGATGTTGACTAGCTTAATGCGGTGGGAGGTAAAAACAAATGCAATAGCAGAAGTCGTTTTTCGAACACGAGTTCACTACAATGTGTTACAATAGAAACAAATTTCGTCCAGAAAAAATACAGTTAACAAAGGTTATCGGAAGGTGCAGAATATATATATATATCTGGTTAGTCTATTCTGATTTATATAGTTGCAGTAATATTGAGCTCTGCTTTGGTACAGCCTCTGTCATATCAGGAAGATAAGCTTATATATACCCTATACTTTTGTTGCCATTACGTGCAAATTACGTGGTTTGATTCTGCATAATGGCGTCACGCAATCGATAATGGTGCTGACGTAAAATCTCACTGCCGCTGCTTAATTAAACACATATATGATACTCATGGTGGCCCATAGGCGGCAAAGGGGAAACGATTCACATAGAAATGCTTCAAAAGCTGTTTGAGGCGATTCGTTCATTGGGATGACGTTACGCGAACATGACGCGACGTGTCGCCAAGCGGCCCACGGTAAGTGCGCTTCTCACCAAACTAGAGAAACAATTAACAGTCCTTAATGAGTAGCAACAGCAGTTAAAATCAGAGCATTTAGCTTTGTATGGCACCTGCGGGAGTTTGTATCACTGTCCGAAAACCTATTCCGCAGCAACGGCGATAAGATAGAACCCTGCAAAAAAAATGATCATTGTAGTAGGTAGTCAATATAAGATCGACAAATCATTGACGTGTAAGTGACCGATTCGAAATACGGGTACGTATCTTCCCGCAGATGCGTCCATAAATAAACCAAGTTGTAGCATACGTTTTAACTAATTGTACGATTAGTACTATCAACGATTGTAGCTATTCGTGGCCGGATGCGAATGTTTGATTGAAGCTAAAAAAAATTGACGGCCGTAAATAATTAGTCGAGTTCTGCGCCGTTACTAATTCGATTATTGGTAGGGGTACTACACTAGTACTCGACTAGTACTAATAGAAACAACTGAGAAATCTATAGAAAACCGATAGAGGATGAACACAAACGGAGACAAATACTGATTAAATTGAGTGTTAGCTTATTTTATGAAAACCGTATCATCGCCGTGGCTCCTGAATTTAGCGAACGACTGTTTCATGCTGGACATTTCATTGAGCACGGGTTTCGAACATACCCTGAAGGCAATTCTACAGGACGCAAGCTTTACTGGAGCTGGCCCTAAACGAATGTAGCGCGCATAATTTCGAAATGATTAATGAAACCAGCAAAAACGGGCCCGATTGCCACGGCAAACGTATGATACATGACATGCATACGAAAAACACAATTGTACAATATAGATGATAATGAATTGAAGCATTATTATTATTATTACTAACACTACTATTATGTAAAGGACTGATGCGGAACGAAAGGACACCAACGAACTGGTAACCCAGAAGGAATAGCCTAGTGAATCAAAATCGTTATCAGGCAGTTAGAAAGAAAAAACAAATCACGAAGCACAGATTGAGAAAGCGAGAAATGAGAAATAAGGAAAAAAAACGATAATCCTAAGTCGTACTAAGAAATAAGTTATGTAAGACAAAAGTTAAAGAACGAACAAGGGCTACAGCAGGTAATTAAGCAGAGAAAGATATTTGAGCTCTTTTAGTTATTGCACTTAAAAGATAATAATCAAATATAATAATTTTTTTCATTTATAATTCCTAATATATTTCAAGAATAAAAATTAATTATACCTAGAATAAGACCTGAATTTCCTAGGTAAATGTACATGGTTATGATTAGAATTACTATGGTGCGGGAATCAGTATTTTGGACGTAAACGGTGAATGAAGCGTCCGAAAAGGCGAGAGTAAGGGGACGCTGTGGAAATCAGCCACAGTAATGGCCTACGGACAATTATAGTAATAAAGAGGGCAACAATTGTTTTTATCGACGATATGACACGCGTTCTTTTTGAAACCATAAGTATTTACGAATTTATTTTTTATCTAGCTTGAAACTAATGCAAAATAAAAAGAGAGGTTTTCACTTGGAAATCAACATTTTGTGTCTCATATTCGAGAACAGCATAGGTGTGTCTTTGGAAAATAATAATGAAAACACTAATCTCTTTCGCCTAACTATACATAAAAAAACGCTAGAAATAAAAAAAGTTTATATTAAATAATTTCCGATATCGTACAAGCACACATACCATCCTCCTTTAATTCCACGCTCCAATGTCATCAATACTAAAATCAAAATAGAATAGTCCTACATCTCGTGCTGATCGACTTCGTTTTACTAAATATATTCCATATCTAATTAATTTGCCTAGTCAAGCGCAGTGTAGGCAATACGCCGATATTGCGTAACACTTTTGACATCCATCGCCTTAAACCGGCCTCGGCATCGACGCTGCCACTGTCCTCTTCTGCTCAACCGACATGCTCCTCTAAGGGATAGCTCATTGGCGCTGAACCTTGAGAGAACACTGACGTGCTGTGCGTCTTCTTTTATTCGTTTGATTCCTTTATGGGTTGCCACCACTATGTGCCACCACTATGTGCCTACTCTACCTGCTTACGGTACCTGCGTGTCTTCATTGGAGACGTCTCCCAGCAGACATTGATGCCCATTAGTACCCCTTCTCTGGTGGGTCCAGTCTTTGCTGGTCTCGCCATATATCCCTTACTTACCTTGCCCATATTCTGATCGGCATCAATCCCTCTGCAGAACACTCTCTTAGTGAATGACTTGGCTCCAGCGTTAATCCCCTTCTATCTTATGGTCCCTGGACCATGCACCGTGGTCCGGCAGTGCTAGAGCGCTTCGCCATAGCCTATGTATGTATCTTGTATAGCGTTCGGGCGTTCCCAGTCACGCAACCTCCTGTCTAAAAACCGTTTGTTCGTAGCTCTGAAAATCGGTCCATTGCCCCCTTCTGACCCCTATGTGCTTCCGATGAAGAACGAAGGTTTTCGGGTGGGCTGTACAGCCGGCCAGCCAGCCTCATCCAGTCGGGCCAAGCAAGCTGTTAGTTTCTGCCGGTTTACCTTACCTTGCAGCCGCCCTCCTATCAGCACCCGCCCATGCTCGCCTGTGTTACCAACTCCCAGACAGACCTTCCATCGGTACTCTTCTCTTCCGAATCTCCCGTCGCCGCCATTGTCTCATTTTACCCCATCCGTACCCCAGGGCAAGCCAAGTGGCGGGACCGCAAACGCCATCGTTGTATCAGATTGTTAGATGGTTCGCGTTTACACGGAGGCCATAGTCCCTGTGTTTGGCAGTAGCCCAAAAACACTCATTGTTTCTTACTGATTCTTTCTTCTAATCATTCTCTTTTACTTATAAGTGGCGGCAGAGATGGGGTTTGCGTAGGCTCCGCAGGTTCTTTCACGACGGATGGAGTGGCGGAGCAGATCAGAGCGACGAACGGCGACGGGCTAAAAGTCTGCGGTAGAGGCTATGAGCGGAGTGATGTGCTTCTTACGAGGTAACTTGCGCTGTTAGTTTTTCCTCCGTACATTTCGTGTTCGTATCCAATCGTGAACCCTAGAAGCGAATAAACGAAACGTTTTACCTGGCCATGTCGTGCTCGCCTCGGTAAAGCTGTTTCGGCGAAGAATCACGGTCTAACAGTCGTCCCCAGAAAGTGGAAACCCGTCGATCTAGAAGTTGAAAAACTTCTAGATCGACGGGTTTTAATTGAGTTTTTCACATACTACACATAATACATAAATCCGAGTAATGCCGTTCTTATTTTTTGCGCATTGGAACTGACGACAAGAATCGAGGAGTCACGCTGAAGGTGGAGAATTAAGGTAACGAGCCAGAGAAAGTGAGGGCAACCGCCGGCATGAGTGATTAGGCACGGGCACTCACGGATCTCAGCAAACTTCAAAACGAAGCGTTGATGCAGTTTAGGCAAGAGCGTATATTCGGTTAGGATCTGAATGTCGATGGTGCGCTCGAATGAATCACGAGTCACGAACGCGAGGAGCCTTTGAGAGACTCTTGAGAAAAGGGACCTTAAGGGTGGGGAGGGTCGTCAGCATGGAAGGTAGCGAGACTTGGGTGTAATGAGCTTTGAGATGGAACGGCGCATCGTGGTTCACCGATGGTGGTCCACTGGACAAGGCACTGATACAGAAGTCAGGGGTCGGATAGAAAAAAAAAAGGCTTAATTCCTCGTGAAGTGAAATAACGACCAAAGAGCGACTTCCTGCCAACCGTCGACCTGCCAGACTTTACCGCGGATGCAAAGGAAGCCCTAGTGTGCGGTAATGAAAAAGACAAATCAAGTGAGAATAAGAGATCGATAAAGGAGCATTCATGCATATGGGCAATTTGAAGCAAAGACGTTGAATGCTCAATATAAATAGGTAGCTGGTTTATTGATGCCTCTTTGAGAAAAAGTTAAAACATCTCAGCATATCAGACTGAGAGGTTGTTCGCCTCGATGTTATAAATGTAGCCCAATATAGATCAATTATTAAACAAGATGGCGTTACTATTGTGTTTCCTATCAAACAGTTATTACATGTTTTTGGTTCCGACGTTGTGCACCCTTAATTTTCTTTGAATAATGACTTAACGGACGCTTATAGAGCATTGATAGCAAAATCATTGTCTAACTGAAGGCAACGTAAATATTATGGACTTGTTACTCTAGTTGATCTAGTGAACAAACGTGGATCTCGTTGCAGAGACGAGCCTTGTTACCTTAAACAAGGCACCGATGAATGCTTCTACAAAGCTACGAGCCAAAGTATTGAAGCCCAAAACCTTGTTTAAGCGATCGAGAAATATAATTCTACAATTGGGCGAAAAAAAAGTTCTAAAGTATTATTACGCCTACGTTTGAAGTATTCTTGAAGTGATTTCCACGAAAAACGAGTACGACGAAACGGACATCTTTGTTGTTATTGAAATGTTCGCTTCTGTTTAATAGCTAAATAACTTGATGCACCTTTGAAGTTGCAGATCAAGTGAACCTAAATCCTAAACTCACCAGGGTTTAGCTGGAACTGTGTGATCATAATACACGTGAAAGGGGCGTCCACCAAAGCCTGCAGAGGTTTCTAAGAAGAGAGAAATTGTTATTTCTATAGTAGCCTATACAAAGGGTCAAAATCACACTTCTTAAAAGCAAAAGCCAGAAATGTTAAAAAAAAAAACCCTTTAATCAAATTTTTAACTGATACAATGCAAACTACACGCACCAGAACTACTAGCGAATCATCACTTTGAAACATCCCTCTTTTAAAGAATCCTTCTTTTATCAACAGTAAATCCTCCCCCTGGCAAAGTACAAGAATGTCTAATTTCAAACGTAATTAGTATGTTTTTCAAAAAATGCCTGACCATAGAAGAATTCGAATACGAAAGCTTACTGCGGTTCTATTGCCTTATTTCATAATACAGTAATTACAATATAGCAAAATGAAAGACGTGCCGATGGTACGTTTAGGGCAGAACATGCAATCAGGTTCGTAACCTCCTTCCTTAATTATTAGAAACTGGGTGTCGCCTATTAGCAACGAGCAGTACGCTAATTTATATGCGATGTCCTTGCAGGCAAAACGGCGGGTGTATGCCGAAAGCATCAATATGTACGTAATGCTGTATCAGCTAAGTTTCCTCATTAATCAAACTTCCTTAGAAACTTTCTGATGGTCATTTGTATAAGTTTTTTTTGAACGGTTGTATCATGGAGCACTCCAGGTTCATTTTACTCCTCCCCATCTATTTCTATTCATTGCTCAATTTTGGTTTTTCAAGTCTGTTGTTTATGCCGGGCATCGTTGCACGGTCCGAGCCATAATTCTGAACCTGTGTTTTATGCCAACTTTCCGCACTTTGGATATACGTTAAACAGACCGAATATTAAAGGCACCAGGCTTTGAGTCAAGGCTGCACTCGGATCAGCGGCGAAGTACTCTGGTGGAGACAGAGTGGCGCCGGAGCAATCGATTGAGTGAAGTCCCGAAGTGTTGATATGGTGCGCCTTCGGCTACAGTGCAATGCAACAGATCATGCACAATTTCACGGGATAGCGACCCATGAATAAAATGGTATATTCAATAGACGCTTGCAGATCGTACCGTGCCGTGTCGTATGTTGCCGGTTTCATGTGCTGGGATCCCTGCCTTATGGGTTCCTGCTGCTCAGCGCCAAACTGACTAGAAAACCTGGCCAGATAAAATTGACCCCGCTCTTAGAATAGTCGAATAGTCGCAAACTGTATCATTTTCTAGAGGAAAAAATGGCTGGTAATTTACAATGTCATTCGCGTATCTCATTAAGTTTGAGAATCTGTAATGTTATAGATTTCATGAAGTAGTCATCACCTATGGCTTTATCAACCTTTTATGATTTCCTTGAGACACGTGCTCACCTGACCGTGTATAAGATCCATCGTAGATAGGTAAGTTCGAAACCGTCCATCATGGTTTGTACTGTTGGGTTTTTGAGTTTTCATCGGTCGAGCAAGTCAGATAAAACCAACAGGTCACTGACTAGATGTTGATTTAACTAACGAGCCGCACTCTTTCTTAGTATATAACTGAACGTATAAATCTAAGATACAGCACAATTTTCTGCTCAGAGAAGCTCGACAAAACGAACTCCAGCGAACACAGATTTGTACCTAACCTCGCCACACCGGAAGTGGAACCTTCCAGCGATATATTATTTACCCTGCCGATGTCTATTAACTCGTAAATCTTATGAGTGATAGTGCAATTGAACTTGCAAGCAAAACCTTCCTATTGGTTGGATCAACTTAGGTCGCCTGGTATCTAACGGCAACATGTCACCTCTTGAAGTCAACACCGAATCGATCCCAGTTGAGTCTGCGGTATTTTTCAGCATCCCAGAGGTCACCGTAGCTTAGGAAGGGCCTGGAAAGGTAAACATCGATCAAATTAAATTATAAGCCTGTATCGGCGTGCATTTCCCCATGCGCTTTTCTGGACACACACACTGTACCTCTCGGCATTTCCATTGGGATTCTCATAGACATTACTCAACTAGCACCACTCTCTTCTACGATTAGCAGACGTAATGACGCTAATGCTAACCGAGGCAGAATATGCCTTCTTGGAAGATATCTAACAGCTACCTCAACGGAAAACGTAGCCGTTAAAAGTTATGGTCATAATAGGACTTGTCGATGATTATAGTCACACAATTGATTGATGGCCTGTACGCCGACGGCACGCCAAGGGCGCCGAATGATACACACCTTAGCCTCTGGCGGTAATATCTAACGTCATTTGTATGTCTAATAACTATTGCCATTTTCATGATTATAATGACATCAGAATTAAGCATATCAATCACACTTACTAGCTATCCATTGAGTAGAGCAACAGGGGGCTAGCTGTTGAGATACATCCCTTGATCGTAGTGCAGGCAACAACTCTAATTCAATTATGGGTCGTTGAGAGCCAATAGTAGCGCATGATTTCCACTATAAGATGTTGGACTTTTTTTTAATAGACGGATTTATAGCTATGTAAAGAAAATAGGACAGATCGTGCCGCTTTTGTAATGTTGGATTTTTGTGTTCCTTTCAGGAGGCTTACGTTTTTCCGAGCAGTAGGTAACTGCAACGCTAGAATACTGATAGCGTACGATAGAGAATTAAGTCGATGTCGTATTTATAAGAGTGTTACAAATAATTACTGTTCTAATAGATTCGATACGAGGAACTAGTGGCAAAATGGTGATTCTCTAAAAAATATAGTGATTTTGTTTAAGAAGAATTCAAAAGATAGAAAATTCATTTAAGTGACCATGACATAAACACCTAACCAAAGTTAACGTTTGATATATTAAGTTATTTTGACCTGTATGTTTCGAGTTTTATATCTGGTGCCGCCTTTAGACGTTCTACCGGACGACTAACTTTCAGCACGAAACGAACCGTGTATGCCTGTGCCCGGGTTCGAACGAACCTAGACCCATAACTTATTTTGACCTACATCGAATCGATGTCATCCAGAAAACTCAGGTCTTTATATTCAAGAATTATCTAGTCAAATGTATATATATAAAGATGTAAAAATGTGTTGTGAGCAGTACGCATACTCAATAAGATACTTCTCACTTCAACACGTTTTACTAAACGAGTGGAACTGAGCCGTACAGGCGTATATTAGTTAGGATGCGCCTAATTTTGCTGGAAAGTATTTCAATTGACATTTTTTTATAATAAATATACGGATATATAGATAAATATACGGCTATGCGTCGAGAAATTTTATATTTAGGATTTGTCTGAAGCAAGTAGAACAACTCTTCAATCAATGCCATGTTTTGCACTAACTTCAATACATCTTCATTAGCGCTATAGGCGTAAATGAAAGCTTAGTACTTCATTACGCAACCTAACGTTGACTCTCATAGGCCGTCTTATTGGAATGTAGGGTAGCCTCGCCCAAATAGTTTATCGTTGGGATGGAGGCAGCCGAACGATGTAATCCAAGCAGCTGTTGAGATCTGCCATCTGATAAAAACGCGCCGTACGATAGGATGAAAAGAATACTGATAAAATACCTGTACTAAATAAGTATAGGTCTGCATAAAAAAATATGCAGCACTAATATTTTATTAGACCTACATAGTTTTCACCGCGGTTTTTATTCATGTAATTAAAAAAAAAACAAAAATTCACTTCTGCAACGAGTAGATCTGGCTCTACGAGTAGAAAGGCTTCCACTATGTAGTTATCACTAGTTTACTGTGACTCAAGCATTTCCTGTTTGACTATTTTGGTTATTGTATTAGAGATGGTCACTCTTAGATTCTACATATCGGCATAGGGTCACTCATTTCCTGCAAGAACTAGAAACTCTCAGAATCAATACCTCCGGTCAAAAAATCTTTCGTAGAATTTTCCGTAGAAAAATAGGTTTATTCTCAAAATATGTCAAGTGGCACCACGATTTGATTTCGCATGTACGTGTTGGATTGATATGTGCTCATTGTGGTCGTTGTCGCTTTGTCATTCTGGTGTTTTCTGTCTCTGAACGAGAAGACCGTCCGATTGTTTTCTGCTTCCCTTCTGAACACTGCCTGAACGAAAAAACAAGCTTTTGAAAGCCATCTCATTCAAGCCCCTACGCTGTAAATATACATAAATACGCGGACAAAAAATTTCTATCTGTCTACATAGTGTGACACATTCAGGGAACCTGCCCTCGCGACACTGTGTGTGAACGTCGTTTTCCTTTTTTTCTGCTGGGTGCCCTTACGTCGACCACCAAACTTTGTTTTTCCTTTAAAATGCCTCGTAGCCTGGAAAACTTTGAAGAGCTTCTTAAGTTCAAAACGACTCGTTAGACTTTATGGTTCATTCATGCCTGTAGCAAGTCTCTTTACATTTTAGCAAATTATCCTTCCGACTCTCTGTTACTTAGTAGATATGTTATTCCCTTAATGAAGACTGCCACTTGTTGTCGTAATATCTAACACTGCGCATTCAGTACGCAGCAAAGGATCTAAGGTGACGTCAAACGTCTGGTGGTACGAAATCTTCTCATTATCGGGCCTAGATATGTATATATATATATATATATATATCTTTCACTGCTGAACCTATTATCGTGGCTATTTTGAATTTACTTTTTGAGCAAAACTCCGTCACGAACTTATATTACATTGATTTCAAAGCTAGAGTTTTATGGCAGCTAACGATATGCATAAGGTGCGTTTATGAAGACGGCAACAATAGCTATTCTCGAAATTATCATAAATTTAGTTTGTTATACTTGACAAAGCTTGACGAGGCTCACAATGCGCAGTAAAGAGAACCTGACGTCCGTACGTAATCGAAGTTCCTGCTAACAGATTTCGATACTTACTTACATACATACAATTTTGCTCGCTTAGCCGCTAAACGATTGACCTTATACAACATTGCTCCTTCTAATAGTCAGATTCATCATAAGGTTTTACAATTCAGATTATCCCTGGCATGAAGCCAGCCAAATACCGCACCTCATAAATTCATCTCATATTTTATTTACACTTTCATGATTACTAGACTACGCCGGGTTCGTCTTCGATAGCATAGGTGATTTGATATGGGAAGAAAAGCCATACATTCCACAAACATGCCGTGGTGGCTCATTGTTTCTTGACGTTCACACATATTGATGCACCCGGATATAGGGGACCACATTGTAACGCTATGGCAATCAATACTGTTTCACCAAAGCAAGCAAAGAAAAATAGTCGTGCATACGTCTTAGCACAATCAGTTTGGATGTATGCTTTTGTCTTGTAGAATTAGTCACACAGCTCCATCAGGACCATCACGATTGTGGCTATAGAAATGTGCGGGGGCTTTCGGCAGTGCCGGCAGCGATCCAGAAGCTTCTTGGGCTCCAACCGCTGACTGGAGGCAGCCGCAAATGCCTTCCGGAAATGGACAATTTAGAGCCAAATAGAAAACCACAAAGGATTATCGCTAGCACGCTAGCTGCCAGCATGCGAGGCTAGTAGCTCGGAGAACCGGAGGAGCGTTAGAGTGCAAACGCGACGGGGCTTTGGTTCCCTTTACGTTTGTCGGTCCTTTCGCTAAATCTTCTTCATATCGCAGTAGACGTAGTCGCAATCGGCTGTAAACAGTTCAATATATTTCATATCATTGATGTCGTCGCACGATATACAATGATTACCGTGTATACTGAAATAAGACAAACGTCCAATAAATACAGTGGATGAATTTAGGTGTATGTACGTAGGACAAGTGTCGTTCACAGACAAACTAATGCTGAAACCGTCGTGTTCTTTGTGCTTTTGGCGTGGCTTCACGGTTTGCTCATAATTGTATTTTGTCGGTCCATATAATACATATATATATATATATATATATATATATATATATATATATGTAACAGTACAGTATCAAGTATGCCAATACTAATGGTAACAATCATTCAATATATTTCATAGAAGAATAGATTATCAGCGACTCACTGAAAATGGACCGGAAGCGCCAGAAGTTGTTGTATTTAAATAGACTTGTATTGCAGGTCTGAATTGAGATCTGACCAGAGAATGGTATCGTTTTATTTGAGTGATTGTAATACGATAATTTATCAAAAAAGCTGTTTCTCCTTCCTCTAGGTACAGTATAAGATTGAATATTCACTGCTGATGTCTTTTTTCTCAGCCTGTTCCAAATTTAGGTGATCGATTGGTACCAAACGGCAAGGTCTTCAGTAGTGCGCCTCAATAGAGACAATTAGAATTGTAAATGTGCCGATTTCACTGTATACCGCCATGGTGCTCTACAAAAGGCACACAAACGTTTAGTCTATTGCTCATATACTATAGGTCATAGTTGTTCGTTACTTTACACTAGGCCAGATCAAAGATATTTAGCATTTGATTCAGCTCCATGTGTTTTGCGCACATCAGCCTTTACCCTTCGATAGAAATTGGGGAACTAAATATCGATGGCTACTGGATTCCATGTCTGCGTTAAATACTGGAAATGATTGTCACTTCGAACGTCGTCATCATCACCGACTTGATTTCGGAATCGGAAGTTTCGGGATTCCGGTGGTGATAGTCCTGCAGCCGTTACAACGGAACCAAGGGTATTCCAATGCACTACTTGTGTCTTTATAACCCGCGTACGCCGCATCCCCATCTCGTCGTTTTGGCAAGCCACGAGACAAGCCAGGATACCAACAACAACAAACAGCTAAAATGAAAACGACAACGAGAGCGAGAATGGGTCCGTTCGTAAATATTCAGACGGCTTTAGTGGCTTGGCATCGTTTGCGGTTTCGCTGATTATGTCCTCTGCTACGACACCAGCATAAACTCACCCCATGGACCTGCTAGAGTTCCCCATAGTATGAATCTTTTACAAGTTCCGTCACGGTTCTCTCATCGACAAGTCCTCTTCGGTTCACTTTACCCTTCTTTTTCCTTTTTGCCTTTTGCTCTCTCTTTCGTTTGGGACACCTGTGCTATAGCAAACCAACTGGTCCTGATAATCTCGTCCTGGCCAGAGCAGACTACCTCCGTTACGCGCTATCCATTTCAGGAAGGAAGGCGGTTAAACTGCTAAAACTGCTGCCCACATAGAGGAGTAGGAGGGACACTGAGCGCTAAGTGCTAAGAGGTGCAGTGCATTAAGGCAAGTCTGAGGTCGCTACGTCTCCTCAACTCTCCCTCTCTGTACTTTTCTACTTCCTCCGAGGATTATGTGTCTAGCCGCGTTGACCGCAGTGGTCGTCCTCTGAACAGAGGCGGTCCTGTAGCGGTAGCCTGTAACGTCCGCGGCCTGCGCCGTATGAGGTCCAGCACCGACCAGCTTGCTCGGATAACCAAACCGAGAACTAATTAGCACAAGAGGGTGACACAGGCATTGGGGGCGCAGTCCGGACACGATAGCAAACCCAGAATCGGGCGTCATTCATTCAGCGGTCAACAATTTTGGCATGGTTCTAGATTGGGTTGGTGGTTAGTCAATGAGTTCTGCGTGGCTTTACGCAGCTGTGGTGGTGTCAATAATGTCGTAGGGAGCAGTTGGCGAAGCCGGGCGATCAAAGGACGGAGATGTCACCTTCGATGCGCACTATAATTAAGTTGGAAGCAGCAGCAGCAGCAGACGTATGTGTCGGTAAGCATGCGTTCGTCTCCATGTCTAGATAGAAACGTTGACCAATTTCGAAGGAATAAGCGACGGTCGCAACGGAAGCGGAAAACAGCGCTTGCAGTCATCAAACACTTGCAAACACCAAGGGACCGTTCTATCGAACCATGGTAAAAGTAACGGTGTCTTCAGTTGATCAAATGCGGAAACGAAGCAAAGTATTGGGAACAGACTTAGTCCTTGATCATGACAAGTGCTTACCTGAACTTGATCATACGTCGTCACGTATCGTTGCGGACGTAAGTAGACGTAGACTAATAAGCGGTTACGGATTGGCAACAAGAGAGGGGGGACCGAGTTTGGAGCAAGTATCACTGGCAGTAGCGCAGCGTAATAAAAGTAATTGTTGCGTAAACATCAAGTTTTTTTTTCTAATATGTAAATAAATTTAATAGAATTAAGCTAATTATTGCTGTATATTTCAGAGTGGGTCAACCGAAAGGGAAAATAAAGTTTGAGGCGTTTGTTTGGGTCAACAAGCTTTGATCTGCTCTTTCACGTCTGTCCATGGTATAAATGGTAATTTTTGCTATAGTTATGCTTACACTGCAATCTAATTTCCGATCGTGTAGGGTGCACTATACTTCAAGCTTATACTTTCAGGTTAACTGTGTGATCAGCCATTTATGTATTAGGACGATAAGCAGCTATTAGCCTTAATGATAATTCCCCATGTTCCTTAATTTCTCAAATTCGCTTTGTTCCTTATGTTGTATACTTACCTAGGTCGTAGATACGTTCCTGGGGGCAGTTCACCATATCAATTCGTAACGCGACACAACGCACTCCGTATCTGTTAAAAGAAAGGTCCTCGCTTTGTACTTGTCCGGTCACATTAAATATCGAGAATGTTTACAAAATGATTTCACGTATTAAAGTTGCCCACAACCGATTTCCCACTAGTATCATAACCCAACTCAACCCAACCAAAAGATCACCTATAAGCAATGCTTTCCCATTATTCCATCAGCTTAAGTTTCATAACAATTTAATGCGAACTCATCAATTGCTGCTACATCCGCGACACCTTCACCGAAACAGAGTAATCAGTAAGTGAAAAAAGTTCCCCATTTCCAAACAGTACCATTTTTCGATTAACGACCTTCGCCGGCCGCAGGAGATATTCGTTATCTCCTCCCAACGAAATTAAATCCTGATGACCCAGACGACAGACTAGTACTATTAGGGTAGTAAAAGCGAAGAGGGAGAATATGAAATAGCTACGTAGCGTGGTTGCACCTCATGGACTTGCCAAGCTGCGTATTCGTTTGCCACTCAACTCCTTTCCATCACTGTAGAAGCGGTGTCCTCAGATCGCGCATCGGACCAAGTTGCTAGGAACAGCTGGCTTTATCTCTAACTTATAGTCTCGGCAGTAGCATTAGCGAAGAGAGTTTCTCTGCTAAAAACATTTCCAATAAACTGACGAATTCAGACTGGTCATTTCGGTTCCGATAGCCGAACAGTATGAATGCATATTGCCAATCGCCTGCGGACCGTATTTAAGAAGATATCCACATCAGCTTAACGGTCGGCTAACGGCGGATTTCGATGTCGGCTGGAGTTGGTCGTATGATGCATGGAATACACTTATCGGGAAAGGTTCTTTAATTATTTATTGTAAACTCGTACCACCTTACTAGTTAGGTCTCTAGCGGCCGCAGAATTGGCGGGAAGCTGTGTTTTCGAGATAGTAGCGCCAATAATTATAGCAGCTCTGTAAGCTAGGGCAGATGTCAAATAGAAGACAGAGAAAATAGCGAAAGTGATGAGCTGTTTACCGACAGAGGTGTCATCACGCCAACACAATCATATATAGTATCACATTGAAGTATCAATCAACTAATTAATTTGTCTTTCTTTCTACCGTTGAGTCGTTCATTGAACGCCTTCACGACTTACTGATGTTCACTTCCACAAAGCAAAATCAGCGTTCTTCTATCGTTTTCCATTTAGGATATTTCGCTTTTCATCAATAATTTGATTGCTCGTTAGCTATTTCGCTGGCTAACTTAATTTGAGAACTTGTGTTAGTAAAAATTATAGGGTCACACGAGGGGCCTATACGATCCAATGATTTGCGTAGGCCACTATGTATATACAATATTATCCGCAGTCAGGTGGTATAGGTTTATATATGACAGATTCTTAGACCTTGCTTTGTCTCCTTTCCATAGTTACGAAAAAAATTTGATGTCAACAAAAGACTGGTCTGATGCCTGAGATGCTTAGAATCTGATGAAACTACTGTATCGCCACAACGCCATACGAGGACAAGACGCAGTCCCGAGTGTTTCGGCTATGTCAGAATATATTTTGAATATTCTATTAGACACTTGCTTGTTGGGCGGCGACTCAGTTAGGAAGGCCAAGTATATGTTATCTATTAGGCGTAGACGCTATGTTAATGGCACGCTTACGCGCTCGGGTCAACTTGCGTCTGCGTCGGAAAACAGGAGATCCGCGCAGAGGAAAAGTTAAAAGGTTTAAGCGTACATAGACTCGACGAGTAAGTTACATCTGTAAGCACCACTAGACCATTTCAGCGTAGTTTCGTTCGGTCAAGAACTGCGAATGCAGTGTTCTATCTGTCAGGTTTTATTCTTAGTTCATCGCTCTAAACCATTAGAAGATTTGAACGCCTTGTAGGCAGAGTAGCGGGAAACGATGCAATGATTTGCATAGGCCGCGTATACTAGAACACGCTGACAGGCGGATAAACAAGCATGACGTGAACCCACACGTCCATTCACTTTTATATGACTAGCTAAATACGATCACTGGTTCACCCGAAGGACGCTTTCGAGCGATTCCGAGAAAACGACACTTAGCAGGTAACTAAAGTAGTTTAGCTTTATGGTACCGTAATGCGAGTTACGTATGTGTATTTAAAGACGACAAGCTTCTTTATTGTTCTATGTAGTCTTTAAGGGCAGCGTGGAAACACGTAATTTCTGGAAGTCCTATTGGCTCTAATGGCGTTTGAATTGAGACGTGTGACATCAATGTGCAGACTTTTCTGTTACGTTGTTTTCATAATCACTGGAGGCCTTTCATTTTTTTGGCCTAGAATGCTTATCCACTACAGACAAGTGAAATTCACCTATTTTTCCCGGTAACATTTTTATCTAATTATAATTAAATACTAAATATACACAATTAATTATTGTGTACACACATGCCTATATGGGAGGGATTGACATATTGATTTTATACGGTATGAGTACAAAAAACATAATGTGTGGAAGTCACTATTCATACAAAAACAAGCTCCCAGTAGTGTTATGGTTAGAGCGGTAGTAACGGGGCCACCTAAAAGAATAAGCGCCTGAAACCCAGCGAACTTGCCCCTTGCGACACTAAACCGTACAACAGAACCTTGTCAGTAAAGGTGCAGCCTTCATAGCCTATTGATTATTTTCCGCGTCTACAATTAGTCGGATGCGAAACATTCCTGCCTTGACAAGTGATCTAGAAGTAACTATCATCGTCATTTCTTGTTCAGTCAATTCGCACTAATATATACATATTTCTACCTATTTGCAATTTGCTTTGTCAACCAGTACTCCCTTTACGTATGACAGCCATTGCGGTTTTTCTTTTTTTGAAACAAGGAAGATCCTTGTTACATTGGCACGTTTTGTTACAGGCATTTTTGTCTTGCCACCGTCGCCCCTTTTCCCAACAAGGTCATCGTCATGTCGGTTGCCACAAGTGCCGCTGAAGCTTAAGTGCTCACGAAATCGTAAGCTATGTCCCTGTTCCATCGGCCTTTGCAGGACAAAAGTAGCCCAATATTTTCCTTCATTTTACTCAGTCAGTTATATCTCCCACTAATACCAGCCGTCAATCTTAAGTTCGCATCAGATGTAGTGTACAAAGAGAACTACGTACGTGGTCTGTCATCAGCGTACGTTCGAAGGTACCCCTTTGTCTCCTCAGTAGCCTGATCACAGGGCGAACGGAATGCCACCATGCCAAAACAACGTCAGCATTTCACAGCGTTCTAGGTGGAGTCACACTTTTACGGAGCAGAACCATCGCAAGCGAGACACGGCAGTTTCACCAGACTTCTTAAGCTGATAAACCGTTCAGTCGTTCATCGACATAGATTCTGACCATCATCGAACTAGTAACGAAATGCTTGCGACACTCAACGACATGCTATTTCACGCATATTCAGAACGCGTGTCCATATGTGGTTCTGTGTACGTTGCTCTGTCTCATATAGCTCCCCGGATGACCGTACAATGTCAATAATCCAAACTACTGACTTGGCGGAAAAAGTGTGTTACGGTAAATATGTACCTCTAGAATAGACAAAACCGCGGTATGAAGATCACCTACCTTATATCAGTTTTTTACAATTCTATCGGCGTTTGATGAAATACAAAACAAACTGTCTAAAAACAGCATAGCCAAACTCTAATATATATGCCTTCTAAAGCGATAACCAAATTTCTGAACCTGCCAAACACGAATCATATTCAACTCCTACAACAACCTAACCTAACCTAACCTAACGTGCATTATCATGCAAATATAGCGCCATAAAAATGATGTTAACAATGTACACGGACACGCTAGCGGCCGGGGAACGATTTTACCACACTCTCGCCAACTGGAAGTGTGAACTATACTAATTAGATGGTTATTTTTTATATTTGCGTAAAACGCTTTATTCTATGTCGTTTGTTTTCAACGGCTAACGAAGAGATCTAACCACTGCCGGGTCAACGCCGTTATCATCGTGATCTTGTACATCGTGATCGATTACACAGGGCCCTGCGTCTTCACACCTTCAAACATCAGAGAGCATACGTAGAGAGTACCTATGTCAGCTACCAAGTTATGCATACTGCAAGCTTACAGAGTCAGTGTCCTATTGTTGCCTGATCTATTCGCCGTCTGTACGGTTTCGCTACTGCATACATACAGCTGTCTACGAGAGCGCGCAACGTAATTTAGCTCAAAGAGAGGGAGGGCTGGGATGGGTAGCCTCTCTCTTATATTGGCGGTCCGAAGATGAAGAAGCGAGTATCCTCCCAAATAGTTACTGTCAGGGAAGTGATCGACACTCGCGCGAAGTGTTTGATACGGATTAATTTGCAGAAGGAACCAAAACGAGACTTGTAGTAGTAGCATATTGAACGAGCTTAACTATGCACCGCGCGCAGAATGTTGCACGTAGGGGCTGCATGTCACCGTTTCCGGTTACGATTCCCGCTCCGTGCAGAGACAGTCTGTGAACGCTACGCGCGACTCTCTGCCGCAGTCATAATCATGTTTAGCAAAATATGTCGTTTTCCTTTTGTTATCTTGGTTCCATTCTCTGTAGCTATTGAGGTTTTTATGCCTTCGAGAAGCCCCGTTGTGAGAACAAAAGATTCGAGCACAGTTCAGATACACGAAGCCGTAAAAAGTACGTAAGCTAAAAAGTACTTAAATAAGAAGCGAAAAACTGCTTGTCGTGCAATGGTTTACGCCGCACTACAGAGGTAGCAATATTGGGTCTATAAAAATAGAATTAGTTCTCAGGTAGCGACAAACTGATTAAAGGTCACTTGTTAAGTTCCATACTGACGTTTCTACCTGACTACGTTTCAACCTAGGTATTCACGAACATGTCCCAATCGCTGTGTTCTGAAAGCCGATATGTATGCGCCAAATTATGTATTACCAATGGTCAACCTTTAGAATACTCTTACGGATACATTCATTTGCATTTAGTAAGTGTTACCGCTTTATGTAACTCTAATCAGATAATCTTCTTTGCCGTTAAGCCTAACTTATTCTTTTGCCTATGCACCTTTCTTTCGTGCCTATCGTTTACCCCATTATAGGCTGATTTGTACTATACCACTATATATATATATGGTCCTACCCCACGTACCATGCATACGCAATACGTATGTAGTGACAAATCATAAATTGAACGGGAAGAAAGCTCTGCTAGGGTGACGACATCTTGTAGGTATTTGTAACTTTCAGAGGTGCGACTTCATGCCATCTTAGACCTATGTACTGGTTAAGGTTTTTCCTATAATGCAGGCACTCCTTGAAGAGATATGAATTACTAAAATTAATGTTTTTATTGATCATATTT